TTTTTTTTTTTTGGCAGCTAACTGACAGAAGTTATTTAGTAAATTAGCAATTCTTCTTTTTCAATGCGTGTTACAGAGCAGGAGATGAAAATTAGAAGCAATAAGTTAACATTTTTTGACAACAAAAAATTCTATAAACCAATATAGACATTTATTTGTGCTGCAGTTAATTTACTGTTTAAGCTGAGAACTTTTAAACTAATAAGTGCCAATACCTGAGCTTACTCTTGGAAGTGTCGTTTTTAAAAAAACAATTTCCGGTATTATCCATTTGCCCTGATCTTCGTTCCAAGATGCACTTCTTTTAATGCGATCAAGATTTGCATAATTTGTATCTTTTCGGCTGATCGTTTGAATCTGAAAAGTATTCATATCTTATGTTTAGCAGGTTGTAAAATGTTAAGAGGGTCTAGCCGGTCAATTTGCTTACTCTCGTTGTTATTACAGGCAATTTAACCTCATCCATTTAAGCTGTATTAATTTATGTTAATATGGTTACAAAATAAAACTTTTTGAAATAATTTTTTTAGAAACTTAGGCAAAAAAAAACTGTATTCAAAAATCTAATTAAACAGTTAGGGAAGGCAGCCAGAAGAATGTAGCAGGGAACAAACTTTATCAAGGATTTGTTGTAACAACTTGATCTGTTGCTCTTCTTTACGAATAGTTTCCAAATAGTCAACACGATCAAGTTCAAACTCTCGTTGAAGATCATCAATTTCAGCTTCCAAAGATTTGACCTGTAGAAGTGCTGTTTTTCAAAGCTAATTGGTCTTATCTTTACGTTTACAATTTATCAAATGATGAAATATTAGCAATAGCTATGAAATACTTGGGTAAAAACCTTAGAACGTTGTTTTTTGTATAATGCCGTAACTGCTTCTAGTTTTTCCTGTGTTGAGCTGTAGACATGAAGGAGTGGATCATCGGCATGAACATTTAATGCTGCTGAAATAAAAACTTTTCGGTCAATTAGTTCAGCAATTTTTGATTGTATCACGTCAAATATTGTGTTATACATCATTTTTGACCACAATAAGCCAACATTACTTAAAAACAATTGTAAAACTCCAGCTCATTTTTAATTTTTGTTGAAGTTGGATTTAAGGTGTTAAGTATTGTGGCATTACACAAACCGACGAGCAATAAACAAAGAGCTTTAAAAGTGAACCATATCGATGGAATAAAACAGGAAAAAAGGCTTCCGTCTTTTGTCATTCGCTTCTGTTTTCTAACTGTTTCTCAACCGCACCACTTCCAAGAGGCATTAATTAGTGCAGAAATTAGTTCAACTAGAAACGTTATCAAAAAACGCATACTTTAATTGAAACTGCTTACTCGCTACCAAAAGTAAACTAAGGTCTTATGCACAACAACAAGAAAAAAAACGTTTTCTGTAACCAACTTTACAGGTGTTTAATGAACATCAAATAGGATTTGAAGGGAGTATTCATGTGATTACTGCAGTCTGACATTTTCATTATTAATAATTTCCTTTTTAGAATAAAAAACAGATGAGATTTTTCGTTTTTCTAAACAATATTAAATTTAGTGTTTTATATTCAAAACTATAGTATTCCTGCCAAAAAAACAACACTAGCTAGGTTTGTTTTGAAAATTTTGGGCAGCAAATTTGGCAGTGAATAAACTATTCTATGACATTAAAAGTATTGCAATATTAATATTATATAACTGCGATAAATTTGAAAAAAAAGGCTACTCATTTATTATACTATTACTCCGAGAGCAAATTCTAAGTCTATACCAACAGCTTCCTTCTCCAATGTTTGTCAAAGAATATTTTTTATCGTCTCTGTAAGGTATAATTTTGTGTTACTATCAAATTGTGTTTCAAAAGACAAAGCCGTTCAGATCACAGTTGGATAGTAAACATTA